TATTCAGTTCTGAGAAGGGAAACGATGAAGCTCTTGATGAAGTTACTACCACAGATGTGACTGTTACCGATGATAGGACATTTACTGATGAAGCAGATGAACACCACATGAAGCAGAAGCCAACGAGACGGAGACCAGTATGGAAGAAGATACGTCCCATAAAATTAAGAGACTTTGCTGAATTGTAATTCTGTACATTTAATTAAGTTAAAGAGGGGCAGTGTTGCGTCAGCGAGGTCACGTGACTAGTGTCACGCCCCCTGCTTTCTGGAAATATCTTGTACCTTTGTGAATTGTCGGGAGATTACTAGATATGGGGTAGACTGGTATATATAAGAGGGTGACAACGTTGCGGACAATAATGTGTGTGTAGGTAGTGAGTAATTGATCTGCAGTCAAAGTATTGTTGAAGTTAACGTTCGTTGTTAAAACGTTTGTTACAGAGCGACTGTTGAAAATAAGTGTATCGGTAAAGTTATATTCAGAAAAAATAAACCAGTTTTATTAAGTAAGGACTTGTGTCGCTAAAGTTTCGTCGGAACGAAGTTACGGAAAGTTAATTAACAAACGGAGACGTAACAATACAAATGTTCATTACTCTGCTGGTTACCACAGTCGTATCTAGAGCTTTAAATAGTTGTCTCTTTTTCGCCGAAGTCCACTCAGACTGGTTCAGTTATTTTAGAACACAATTGACAAGATGAATTATTCTTCTCTACTCTGTTATTATAATAGAATCTATGATAATTTCACTTTAAAAATCGCCACTTTATACTCTTTATCTCGAAATTCACGATCAAGCAAACTAGATCTAGAATTCAATAATGATTTTTCGACTCGTATTCATACCCCAATAGAAGTCTAGAATATTTCAAACAATATTAGATATTCTGAAGCAATTAAACCAACGAGAAACTCAGAAAATTCTAACAATTTGACGCAATAATCTCACTATTGTAAAAAATTGCTAATTCATAACAATTGAACCATACAATGGATGATTCGTAAACTGTTGTTTTTTTGTCTTTGAGAAACTTGGTGGAAAATTCTGGAAGCTTTTTGATTCTGTACATTAGAGTAAATATATTTCATTCATATATTTTGCTTCTTTTAAATTCATAAGTACAGCCTTTTGTGCTATAAAATGTTTCAGCCATTTGTATAAATAATGTTAAAAATATATTTCATTCGTAATTACTATACGCACTCTAAAAAGCAGATTTTTGTTAGTATATAGGCCTAATATCATAATAATAATTAACTAGTGATACATTATTAATCTGGATTAATTATTAGACTGATTATTTCTAGAATTACAGTTTCAGTTGATAGAAGCATGGCAGGGAAATTTTATTTCACCTAATAGAGCGAGGTTTTCCTGTGTAACTCAAAACTGAAAATTTGAGACCTATATTACTAAGATTTAATATACTTTACTAACTTGTAACATGTAAGTTATTGAACGTAATTTTGCTGAGTTGTAAACTATCATACGCTCCTGTCGTCCAGATCACCCATATACGATTCCCTTATTTTATAGTCCCTTCGAGACCAGGGTCTTTTCAGCTACTTGAAATGATTGTTGATGTTGATTTTTAGTGCAAAGGTACGCAGTAGGATATCTGTACTCTGTCCAACGCGGAGAATCGAACCCAGAATTTTATCACTGTAAGTCTGAACACTTACCGCTGACCCACGGGGGGGGGGGGGACTCAATTACTGGAAAATGATCAATTTCCGTGAAACAATAAAGCTTATTTGGTGTGTACAAAAATGTAAACGTGAAATAAGAAAGAAGCGAAGAGTAGATTAATACACTGAGACATTTCTCTCCCAAATAAAAATTCGAATGGCACTTAGAGAAATACTATATTTCAACTTTAATACCATGCAATTCTGAGACCATGATGTCATTAGTGACACATACTTTTTGTCAGAAAACTTGTGTAAGATGCTCTGAAAGTTCTCCAGTTTCTTTTCGTAGTTGCTAAGCAGTTCTGCGACTTCATCTAAAGAGTATTCTTCCGCCATGTCGTGAACAGTGCGCCCTAATCCGTCCTCCCGGTTGATGTTGGCTCCCCAAGAAAGTAGGATCTGACAACATTCGATGTTGGCACTAAAAAAAAAAAAAAAGTTTCCCGTTATCACAAAGTAGCACACAATCAAACATGCAGAATCAATTATAAGAAACTATACAGAAAACCCGGCGGATAGATACATTATACAAACCAGATTAAAATATAAACAATACTAATTGTGTAATTCTCAACTAAAAAGAAGGGATACATGAATGACGTAGAGGCATAATCCGTTCATTTATTCTCTACGCCCTCTGCAGTAAACTAATTTTAAGTTATTAATGATGAGTAAAGGACCTGACATCAACTCTGAAGATTATAAACAACACTGATTTGATGGTTTCTGTTATAGGTCGAGTTATTTTCGATTATTCGGTAAAAAGAATAATGAAAAGTCCAGTTAACTTAATCACAAGAAAAACGTTTTATTTCTTTGATTTCAAATTCCAGGGTTAGCGTAACCAACGTTCACGGATAGGCCTAACTTCACAAATGAACTAAAAACTACATCTAATAAAAATTCCACTTACCTACTAATTTTATAGGTCTACTTCTTTGTCGAAACACAAACTCAAAATATACAGCATCAAACTAACTTATTAACTGGCTGACAATAATGGACCCCTAACAGATTCACTAAATGATCTTATTCACTCTAGCCTAACGCGCTTCATATTAGGCTGAAATTGTTTCTTAAACTGGAGAAAGTTCCAATCGTTAATGCCACGTATTACGTTAAACTCAAAACCGGATTAAGGTGTGTGGAGGCCCTGAGGCAAATATCCTGTTACGTCTCCGTTCGTTGGTTGATTTTCCGTAAATTCGTTCCGACGAAACTTTAGCGACACAAGTCCTTTCTTAAATAAAACTGG